TTTCAGAATAAACAAAATATAAAACGTTTTAGGAACCATAGATGTTCTTTTCACTCATTCTGTGTTTTCCGTGTCGCAATTGAATCTTTGATTTCTGTACGTTAAAATAATGAAAAAATGAAGTTTGAATAGAAGAAGTATTTTGAAAATTATTCGTAACGCTGCCAATATCCTGACAAGACACAACTAGCGAAAGAGAGAACGATTCAGGACAAAAAATAATAAAAACGATTAAAGATTTGATCTTTGGAAAATCCCCACATGGGATTTGATCTAAAAGATTTAATATGAGAATATTTTTCAAAAATTGAAAAAAGATTTCACATGGGGAATGATATGGTAAAATTATTCTCGAGAAATGAAAGTGTATTTCACATGAGATTTGATGTTAGGATTTGACATTGGAAATATGTATTGAAATTTTTCTTGAAGAAATATTTTTCTGGTAGCATTTTGAACATTTATCATATGGAATTCAGTACAGTTTTCGTGGGTAGCCAAAAATTGGAAATACTCCACTGAATTCAATCTTCAATCAATGTCGTTTGATTGTTGTAGCTTTCGCTTCAACCTACAAATAGATCTCCATCTCTGGTGTCAATTAAATCAATATTATTTTGTTATCAGATATTTTTCAATTTGTTTTTTTAATACTTTTTAAGCATCTAAAATTAAGATAAAAAAATTTAAGTAAAAGTCAATAATGTCCGTATCATCCAATAATACAAAAGTAATCATCAAAATATTTATTTCGGTTATTCCGATCAAATTTTGATTAAAATAAATACAAGCACTTTTTTACTATTTGATTACTTTAGCCAAAATTTGGGTAATTAAATAAAAATACATTTAAAGTAAACAATTTTTAGTTGATAGAATAGCCAACAAAACGTTTTATTGTCAAAACAAATTCCTTCCTAAGTGTACATGAATTAATTAACCAGATCGTTTCCGATATTGGTTTCTATGTTTCTGCTATATGACTGTCAACAATGATCGTAAATTTAGTGTACACGTATAAATTACATTTAATCCGTGAAGATTTGAAATTTAAATTAATTTATGTGTACGTCCGCATGAAAAGGACTCATTTTGTTGCGGTTTTATTTGAAGAGATAATCGTAATTTTCTGAAAGTGGTTTAGACTTTTGCAATTTTTTTAATTTTGCAATTAAATCTATACAGAGTGACCGCAACGTTAAATTATCCGTTTACTAAACCTTTGTCATAATTAAGACAACCAATCATATTTTTAATTAACATCTGAACCAATGGTAGATTTTACCTTTAAACTTCTTTTTCTCTATAAAGAAAACTTCTCTTTTATTTCTTTCTTGTCACTGTTAACATTGAATCTCTATTGCTTAGTGAATTTTTCACCTATAGAGATATCTAAGAAAGCTTAAATTGTTCAAAATTTAATCAAGAATATATATACTCATATAGATAAGTCAAATTGTGCAATAATGGGCTCTCGAAATGAAACCATAAATTTTATCAAATTGTTGCACTACAATGTTTGGATGCTGTTAATAGTTTACATTTGAGATCTTTAGGAAAATTGTGATAGTGAATAGGGCTTCCAGCTGTATACTGAAGTTAAGACACTTTGTATATTGAATTTCAATAACCGTATTGAATATTTGCTTATTTACTTCACATAGTTTTATATTAAATTCAGTACATATTTTTCTAACAGTGATAATTTTCCTATAGTTTAATACGCTCTTTCTGATAGGTACAGTTTTCTATATATTGGTATCGATATCGGATTTCTCAATAGAGGCAACCAAAGGCAACCACGTGCAATTAATAAATATGTTCTTTTTAAGTAATTGGGACCAGTATATTTAACAATTGAGGAGAAGAGATTTTTTTTGTTTCCACATTTCGATTAAAGTACCTTTTGTTCTTTTTTGTGTAAAGAAATATTGAAAAGTAAAGTATTAAATTATTTTTAAAATCATTTTAACAGGATTTAAATAAATTATTTAGCAAAATTTTTATACAATTCTTCACAATAATTTAATTACTTTCACTAATAATAAAATTTTTGCCTGGAAATTTAATTTTTTCAAAAAATTCTTGATAAAATTTTAGGCAAGAATTCAATTATTTTCATGAATAATAAAACTCATCGAAGAATTTCAATTATTTTCAAATATATTTTAAATTAATTAATCGAAAAATTCAATTATTTTCACAAATAAAGTTTTCTACATAAGAATTCAATTATTTAAAATAAAATTTTTATATAATATTTATTATATTTCGAAAAAATCAATTATTTAAAACAATGTTTAAAAAATTATCATGAAGAATACAATTATTTTCAAAAATAACAAAATTTTTCACAGAAATTCAATTCTTTTTCAATATTTTAATAAAATTTTTCGCAATAAATCAATTATAATAATGTATATTATAATTATAAAAATCTTCGTAATTCAATTCTTTTCATGAATAATAAAAATTTCTCAGGAATTCAATTATATTTTTGAAAATTTTAATATAATTCTTAGCGACTATTCAATTATTTTTATAAATAATAAAATTCATCGCAGGATTTTAATTATTTTTAATATAATTTTAAAAAAATTGCTTAAAAAGTTTAATATTCTTAAAAATTTAATTTCAATTCCTCGAAAAAATTAATTATTGAAAAAAATTTTTTTTTTGAAATTCTTTGAAAGAATTTAATTATTTACAAAAATATTAGAATTTTTCACAGGAATTCAATTATTTTCAAATATTTTGATAAAATTGTTGGAAAGAAATCAATTATTTTGAATACAATTTACAATTAAATTTTTTTGAAATAATTAAAATATTCTTTTAGATTTTATAAAAATTCTTCCTAAGAATTCAAATATTTAAATAATTCTTCGAAAGAATTCAATTATTAAAGATAAATAACAAAATTATTCCTGTAAATTCAATTATTTTCAGGCATTCTGTTGTCAAAAATATTGTAAGAGAATTCTTTTAAAAATTTAATTATTTTTAAAAACTTTACGCAATTCAATGATTTTCAAAATCTACTATTTTCATGAAATTTCCAAACAGAATTCAATTATTTAAAATATTATTTTTTTGTAAAAATCTGCGTAAGAATTCAATTCTTTTCATGAATAATAAAAATTTCTCAGGAATTCAATTATTTTTGAAAATTTTAATAAAGTTCTTAGCAACTATTCTATTATTTTCATAAATAAGAAAATTCATTGCAGGATTTCAATTATTTTTTATACAATTTTACAGGAATTGCTTAAAAAATGTAATTATTTTCAAAAATTAAATTTTAATACCTCGAAAAAATCAATTAGTTAAAAATTTTTTTTTAATTCTTTGAAAAATTCAATAATTTTCAAAAAGATTAGAATTTTTCAAAGGAAATGAATTATTTTCAAATAATTTAATAAAATTGTTTGAAAGAAATCAATTATTTCCATCAATAATTCTTTAATTTCAATCAATATAATTCAATTATGTCGATAAATAACAAAATTATTAGCGAAAATTCAATTATTTTGAGTCACTTTAATAAAATTCTTGTGCAAAATTCAATTATTTTCGCATAAATAATAATATTGATCACAAGAATTTTTTTGATTTTAAAATTATTTAATAAAATTCTAATATAAAATCGTTCGCAAGAATTCAATTATTTTCATAATAATAAAATGCTTTTTAGGAATTCAATTATTTTCAACAAAAAAAAATTTAATAAAATACCACAAAAAGACATTCAATTATTGTCAAAAATTTAAATAGAATTTTTTGTAAAATTTAATTTCTTAAAAAAACTTTTCGCAATTCATTGATTTTGAATATTTACTATTTTCATAAAATTTCTAAACAGAATTCAATTATTTAAAAAACTTATATGAATATAAAAAATTTCTCAGGAATTCAATTATTTAAATTAGAATTTACATAAAATTAGTCGACAGAAATGGATTATTTAATGTTTCTAAAATTTTTCGCAAGAATTAAATTATTTTTATATAATTATATTTAAATTCATTCATGAATAATAAAATCCGCTATGCAGGAATTGAATTTGTTATCAGGATAAGAAAGAAGTAATTATACTTTTTATGAAAATTAGGAAAATGTCAGGAAAATAAAATATATAGAATAGAATTTTTGTCAGTTTCACTATAAAAAGAAAGGTACTAATTTAGTACCGAAATCAGCTCTAATTTAGAACCTTTTTTTTATAGTGTTTGTAAAGTTTCTAAAAAGAGTTTATTTGATCAAGTTTATTTTTTCGATAGCTACTTTTTTACTATATTTTTTAGTTTGAAAGCTACTTTTTGCTATACTTAAAAATTAATTTAGTGTAAAGTTTGTTTTAATGATTATTTATGTTAATTATTTAATTTATAAAACTTAAATGTTGATTTGCTTCGAATTCAGAAAATTACACCTGAATTTCCAAACCGTTTGAATGAATTTCAAATTTACTGATATGCAAAAAATTTGTCTCCTATATTTTTAGAAATACAAGGACTTGTATTTTTATATTCATTATCAAAATCAACAAGTCTTGCTGAGAAAATAGATTGGTCAGTTTAGTGACTCTGCGTTTTAGAGTCTGCGCAAACTTAAGAGTGCGAGGCTAAATTTCTCTCTTCTCTCTCTCTCTCTATTTTTTCTCTTTCACCTTTGATCTCACTTTATCTCTTTCACTTTCTACAATATTTTCCTTTTCGTTATTCTTTCTCTTTTGTACAAGATTTTCTCTTTTCCACATGACTCTCTTTAATTTTCCCTATCTCTCTTTCTCTCTCGCTCTTGAGCACACGGGAAGAATTCACGGGGTTGAGAATTGGGGTTGGTTACCCAGCAGTAGTATCATCTCCCCCCTTTCTCGCTCTCTCTCTCTCTCTCTCCCTCTTTCTCTCGCACTCTCACCCTCTCTCTACAGCTTTGCTTCGGACCAGTTTCAGTATTCGCACTCTGGAAAGGCGACCAGACTGCCAGTCGCTCGGCGTTCGTTCACCAACGAACCCCTAAGTCCTGGCGGCGACGACGAAACAATGAAGACTATTACCCTCTAAACATTTGCAGAGCTTTTTAACCTTCAATTCAATCAAAAATAGATAAATTTCTGAACAAATAGGAAACAATTTATTAGAAGCACAAGAACTGAACATTTAGACATTTATTGATAATTTCGAAAAAAAAAGATTAATTCAGTGAATCCGAGAGTATTTTCAACAAGTTGGGAAATCGATAAAGGAACTTGAAACAAGTGAAAATTTTTTGATTGCTTGTGAGATGGAATGTGTTTGTTTAGCATCTTAAGAATACATTTTGGTGATTTTAAGTGAATTTTTGAGAAGTGGTTAGTGAAAATTTTTTCTTTTTTAATGACAGGAATTTTGATTTACAGTAATTAATGAGATAAGTTTCTAAATTCCAAGGACTTAGAGTAGAGAAACGAATTCCCGATAAGAATCTCACCTTGATGTCGCAAAGCACGACGACGAGCATCTAAGGATAAGTTGAGTCCGTGATGAATAGAGGAGCTTGCAGGCAAAGAGAAAAAACGCGTTCCTTTCAAAGAGGCAAGTGCTCGATGAAAATGGTATTTGCTATCATCGACTTTTCCTGAGCCTGAGGATTTTGATCTTTCGGGGAAAGGAAAATATTGCCTTGAGTTTCCCCTTTGAATGGTGAGATTAAAGGAGTTTCCTGACTTCTCCCTATATATATAAGATTTCGTATGACTGGAAATGTGAGATATCGATTATAGGGAGAGACATACAGATCAAGAAAATTGGTCAAGCGATTAATCTTTGGAGAGCTCTCAGAGAGTTCAATTTTCATTCCGTTCAATGGAGAATTACAACATAAGTTAAGGTGTGTCGAAAGGCCATGACTGAATTAGGTTTCGAAGCTCTCGCTAAAAAAAAGAGAACTTTCTGCTAAATGACGTGCACTAAAAAAGGGAATTGAGAAATTTTCTCAGCTTCTATAGAGACGTGTTATCCTTTGACTTGCGTTGGATCGCTCTTAATAAAGCCACGAGACTTATCGATCGAGTGAAAGGGAATAAAAGTGGAAATTACAGAAGCGCGCGATAATTACAAAAGAGAGGAGGAGTGGGGAATCTCTTGTTGCCGATGGAATTTCATTTCATATAATATCCTCGGTGAGTTCCATTTATCGTCGCATTTCAAAATCAATTTGTCTTTTCAATTTTTAATCTCCTGCGCCTTAAGTCTTAAAGATTTCATATCTAACTGAGCTCTAATAACTGTCCTAATTATTTATTTTCTTTCAGAAATTCAGAAAGCTTAACAAAAATTTAAAGAATAAACAAAACTCATCATATTTGATAAATTCTAATTTAAAATTTACCTTCCCTCAGAGCAATGCTCAAAAAACGAATGCAACACTTTGCAACACTTTTGATTCGTTTTTTTGTCTCAATTTGATATATGCAGAAAAATGCAAGGAACATACCACAGGAATTTTTTCCAACAATTAAAAAATATACTCAAAAAAAACTTGTGGTGAATTCCTGTCTAAGAGATTTTATACGTAAAAGATTGCATGGAATTTCTGTGTGTAGAGTAATTCCGGTAGAATTCTTTCAAGTATAATATTCGAAGAGAGCACATTGCACTTTTACTGCTCAAGTTTTATTAAACTTGGAATTTGAAAGTAATTTTTCGAAATACCCACTCTGTGAAATAAAATAGTATATTATGCGCCAAGGGCAGAAAAGCAAAAAAGACCTGTGGCACAAGCACGACCTTGTTTAACGCAAAGGAATAAATTTTACTTTTTTATGTCCGCAACAAAAGGGCAAAAATTTATCAAAAATTTATTTTATGCATGCCTGTCATCATAATTGTTTCCACTTGTGGATTCGAAGGGGAACAGCCCCCAATAGGTTCCGGAGGGAAAAATTCTTTTAGGAGCAAAAAAAAACCATCTCCAAAAACCCCTAATAGTATAGATGACAGTAACGCTATGTTTTCGTTCTATTTATCACTGAAATTCTATATTTAAACAGTAACTTCCGCCCTACAAGAGAAGAAGGAACCTAAGTCAAAAGCTTTTTTTAAAAGAAAATTTTACATATAAAGTTAAAATAAATGATTTTGTATGATTTAAGAGTCAAAATTGTCATTAAACCTAAAAGGAGCAATTGGTGTACTTTGTCACCCCAAGAAATGGCATCTTTAATTCCGAACCCCAATGACATCAAAATTCTGTTAATCTGTTAATAATTATAGTTCTTTCAAGTAATTTATTTATTTATTTAATATACACTCCCGCAGTCCAATTTTGGACCATAATTGGATATCTAAAAAAACATAAAACAATTAAGTAACAAAATAATAAAAGTAAACGAAAAAACAGTTATAAATTTGCAACAGAAAATTATTCTTTCAGTATACTTAATTATTTTAGAATAAAAGTATTTCAAGGCTGCTCACGTAGGCCGATTACATATTTTTTGCACAATCAGCAAATTTAAGTTGCGAAGCTATAAACAAATCCACATTTGGGCAGAAATTATTATACATATTATTGATATGGTAACACGTAAAAAAAATCGGAGATGTTCTAATCAACCCTAAATCATCCTTATTTATATAAAAAGGTAAATTAGTATACTGGATGACAAACGAGGAATCCTAAAATTAATTACCTTCAATAATTTTTCACAGTCAAAATGGTAATTAATAATTTTAAACAAAAAAAATCATCGCATTAATTATGCGCCGCTCTGCTAAAGTTAAAAAAAGAACGTTGACACAAAAGAATATAGTCACATCCACGTACGGGGTAACGTCCATCCTCCTTGAAAGCCAAAAATTTAAGAAACCGCTTTTGAACTTTATCAAGAGGCTCTGAGAGCTTTTTAGTAGGTGGGTTCCAAATAATTGCAGCATATTCAGCTGGAGACCCTACTAATGCATTAAAAAGTAGAGTAAAGGTTTGTATATTATTAAAACGTAGATTGTTTTCTTTATCCGTTTACCTACAAAATTGCATTTCAATTCTTAACTTTTGGTCTAAATGGTAAGCAACTACAACAACAATATTTATAAAATTGTTGAGATTGAAAAGTTTTTTCTGTGTTTTGGGAAATTATAAAAATCAAGTTTAATTGTATCCCAAAATAATGAGCAACATTAACTTTCTTATGAAAAGATAATTAAGAGAAGAAATTTGTACTTCGTTAATATTAACGTTTTCTAATTAAAAGTTAGTCATCTAAAGACCAAAGAGCAACTGAGTTAGGCAAACGTGAAACAAATTTTGAGAGTTTATGTCAAAGCATAATGGATTCTTAGTGGGGAACCTAAACAGAATGGCAAACATATATTGCTATCTTTCCTTTACTCATTGTTACCAGTACAATTGCGTTTCGTTTCAAGATTCTATTCTGTTTGGCTTTTCCCCATTTATCCTTAAATTTTAATTTGAGGTTAGTCGCAAAACTTTCCTGTATTCGTTTCACGTACCCGAGTCAGTTGTGCCTACGCCTTAACATGAGCGTTACGTGACCTTATACAACTTTGTGCTTAAAGGATTAAAATTTTATACTTTAGCTTAAAGTTTAAGAACATTAAAGCGAAATATTTTCTAGATTATTAATTATAATTGAGGTGCTGGATGCTATAGGTGTTACGCGCCATGTTAAGTAAATGGCGCGTAACACCTTATATCATCCAGGCCCTCAATTACAAAAAATTAAGATACTATGATTACGAATATGATGTTTGATTTTAAAAATTCAAAATAGTATGTCAGAAATCATAAGCAATAAAATACCTATTAAAAATTAATTGGGAGTGAAAAGCTGAATTCGGTGTCGCGTACATTAAAGTGAATTATTTTTTCATATTGTGAGTTCACCGTATAAATAAAACAAGCGAACCAACTGAGCGTGGTAACAATTGCAACGTTGCCGATTCGATCCAGTAGCAACATCTATCGTGCTTGTCATATTTAACTGTTTCACTTTTTTACAAATTTTTATATTTTATTTTCTGCAATCGGCATTTTTACACATTATAAAAATCACTCGTATTATTTATAATATCAACTTGGCTCAATGAACGTGAGTTTAAAAAATTCAAGAGAAAACAATTAACGGTAGGAAAAAAAAATTCACCGTATCGTTCCGATTCGCATTTACGCGAAATCGAATTCAGCTTAAGTTACCCTCAATTATTTTCACTTCATTCCAATTATTATTTCCACTGGATAATAAAAGATTGAAATCCTTCATTATAAAAGATATATTGTTATATAAATATAACAATTATGGTCAAAATTAATTAAACCATCTTTAAAGAAAAAGTTATTTTAAAAACATACATTCGGACAATTGTTCCTCACGGCGAAATGTATACACTACGCTTAAAAATTGGTGAAAATAATGGACTTTAAGAAATTCTGAAAGTGACATCATTATAAACTTTCCTATAAGGAAGCAAAATTATTCGAATTTGATACTATTACTCACAGGCTTTGAGGTTGCTATATAGAAATTGAATGTCAAACTTTAATGAATTAAATATGACGCTTGAATAATGTAGCCAGTTTTCGTCAGCAATTGTGAAGAAGTGCTATATACACATAGATTGGATTTTAACTAATACTAATAAAGAACCATGCTGAATATTTGATATTCTGTGGATTTGTGTAACGTGTTGATAAAATGATCACTCGTTCATGTTTTGTGTTATTTTTACTCGAAATATGATGTTACAATTTCTGTCGCAATTGTTCTGTCTCTATTTCTACTGTAGGCATTATTGCTTTGTTTTAAAACTCTCATAATTTTGATGTATAATATATAATTAAATATTGGCTCAAAAAATTCTTTCACAACCTGAGATTGTACAGATCAGTTAAGCTGAAATAGTAAAGGAATATTATTATTAATATTTGGTGTGGTTGTAGAGTTGAATTGTAGAAGTTGAGTAAAATTATAAACAGAAATGTAGCTCGATATTCTGATCTTGACAAAAAGTCGGTAAAGTTACAAGAAAAATATTATTTACTTTGTCTTTTGCAAGAGTAGTTAACATACACTTTACAACCGAATAGATTCAATTGGAAAGGGTGTGGAAACATTTAAATCTTTTATAGAGAACCAATTTGCTACAAATTGATTCATGCAGCGCAGGACTATACCGATTGCTGTTGGATTTACACGCCAAAGACTCACATTGATACTACCATGCCAAAAATCCTTTATACTGAACCTTCTATTCACCTGAACTACCTTTCGGAACTGCCTTTCGAATTCAGACTTCGCAGATGAATGGTCCCATTTATTCGCTGATGCAACTCTTCGGTGCACTTTATTTAAGTGTCTTTGACAAAGCTTGCTTTGCTTCCTCTAGGGCAGTTTTGAAGACTTTGCGACTTGCTGATTCTGAGACGTAGTATTCTCCTTCCCGTAGAACTTCTTTTGGTATAAGAGGAAGCGTTGACTATTCTTACAGTCTACTAGGTTATGGTATGCTACTCCGCACTTGAAGCACGCTGCTGACCTATCTACAGCTTTTCAGTCTCTTTCTATATGGGCAAAGTTAAGGCTTTTATGACACCTTATGACCATAACTCTTCTTCTAACCGGACAAGACTCAAACCCAATTTTTATGTGTCCTATCTCTTCCAGCTTGTTGGCATCTTCTTGACTAGTATCGCGAATATCCAGCGTAGTCTGTCTGTCCGCCATATGCACCATACCTAATTTTCCGATTACCTTCGTCACCTTCAAGGCGAACGAAGCCTTATTTGAAGACCCTTCAATTTTAATCAGGAGGTCTCCCTTCTTAGTGGTACTTGCTCCCACAACCTTTGTCTCACTGGCGCCTAGGTCTGCCTCTTTACGAAGTTTCCTCAGAACTTTGTGATACGTCGTAACTTCAGACACTTTGACGATTATCGTTGTTAGTTGTTGTGGCTTTCTCCCCTTGATGATTGAACTTGGCTTTGGTGCCAGTTTGGTACCCTTGCATTCAGCCTTCTTTAGAGGTCATTTCTTTTTCTTTGAGCCTTTCGTATACTCAGGACTGCTTCTTCTTCTTCTGAAACATCCAAGACGTTTTTCAACACTACAGCGTTAAAAGGGTCAAGGTCTAAGTCTTCGATCTTGTTTTGATTTCTCTGACC